GTGATTTAAATTTACTTTCAGAATTTTTTTTAACACAGTTGAATCTTTTTTTTTTTAATTTTGGAGAGGTTTTTGCTATAGGGCACGTGCGCTCACCAGACAGACAGAGAGAGACAGAGAGACAGAAAGCAAGAAATCATCCCCCAGGGGGGATGGTCATGCCGCAATCCCTTCTCCTCCATTCTCCTCTCGGGATCTTGGGCATGCATGCACAAGCGACCAGCGTTAGTTTTAAGCCACCGGGTCCGGGATGCGAACCGCGGTCGACTACGTGGGAGTCCAGCAACATAGCCATTACGCTAACTGCTGGTTCCCAACACAGTTGAATCTTTTGAAAGTAAAGAATTTTCTATTGGATCTTTTAAGAAAATTGTTAATAACTCTTTTTAAAAAAACTTCTGTTGAGGAAAGATATGAGATATTGGAACTTAAAATACACAATTTTATATAAAAAATGTGCACAAATTTTGATAGTATTTTAGTTATTCAGTGTGCTTGGTTATCGAATTTTATTAAAACCTCATCAAGAAGGAAATCTCAAATCACTTATTATGCTCTACAATTATTGTAAACTGCACAATTTAAATGAGAGGAGGAGATAATGACATTAACTTCTTAACTTAAAGCAATCCTCTGTGACATGATTTTAAAATATTCTCTTGGTCTGAAATTTATGTAAATTGAATTCATCTATCATTAGTTATTACCAGTGTAGCTACATTAAAAAAAGACAACAGTTTTCTCTAACAATTAGTTCTGAAAAACACTGTTTTAATTAGACCTGGGACATTATTAAACTAGCTATAAATATGTACACTATTTTATTTGGTATACCCAGATGCCCAAAAATCAACAACAATGCCCTCAGAGTTCTTTCTTCAAAAAGTCTTCTAATGAATGCCTTTCATTCAAAGATTTAAGGTAATCAGAAATTACATATATTACATATAATATATACAATATATGCATCTTTTCGAGAAAAAAATGTATATAAAATGCACACACAGGGAATGGCCACTCATATTCAGAGAGGAATCGTGGAATCAGAATACTTTAGAGCTCACAGGATGTAGAGCTAACCTATTTATTTCTTCATTTTATAGATGTGCACAGTCAGAAACACACAGCATTCTAGGTTTTTACCTAGATCTAAATTTTAGCTTTATGCTAAACTAGAAGCATTTTACAAAGAGTACCCCCATTTAATCCTCACCACAACTCTATGGTTTAGGTCTTACCATTGTCCCACTGTACATACAGGGAAGTCATACAGTTAGACTGACAGTCAAATAAGACTCCAGACATGAAGATGCTCATTACTGCTGAAGACTTACTACCCTAAATTTTAAGGATAGGTGGATATTTCCCATTCACAAAGAGAATAACCAAATAACTGTGACGAATCCTGCCAATTAAGATTCTGTACTAAGATATTAGTGCGCAACTGGTGTTGGAATTCCAGAAATGTTGTTTAAAGAAAGGAGACTTGGGGGCAGTAGGACGTGTGGTGATTAAGGTACTGGGCTCCTACCTGGTCAATCACAGTTTGAGTCCTGGACCTAGAGGACAGCATTCTCTCTCTCTCTCCCCCTCCCTTCCCTCTCTCTTGTGAGCATGTGCGCCCTGTAGTAAATTGAAAAATAATAAAATTAAATAAATAATTCTTAAAAAAAAAAAAAAAGAATGAATGAAAGTAAGAAATCAGACTTAGGGATGGTCCTGCAGCATAGTGATTATGGGAGCCGAATTCCACATGGTTGACAGCATTTCAAATCCCAGCCCTAGAGGTTTGAAAAATACGCCAGCTGTGTGTGTGTGTGCATGACCAGCATCCCAACAGGATGGAGAAACGGAGAAGTTATTATAGCATGATCACACCACACTGGGGGTGCTTTCTCCCTTGCTGTCTCTCTGTCTCTCTCTGGAAAGAGCATGCACCCACTGACAATTTTTTAAAAAATTAAGAAGATTTAGCTCTTTCCTTCCTTCTTTCCTTCCTTCCTTCCTTCTCTCCTTCCTCCCTTCCTTCCTTCCTCCCTCTTTCTTCCTTCCTCCCTTCCTTCCTTCTTTCTTCCTTGCTTTCTTTTGGGGAGGTTTTTGCTATAGGGCACATGCACTCGCCAAAAAGACAGAGAGAGACAAAGAGACAGAAAGTGAGAAGTCACTCCCCAGGGAGGATGGCCACACCGCAATTCCTTCTCCTCCATTCTCCTCTTGGGATCTTGGGCACGCACGCACACATGCCTGGTGTGAGTTTAAGCCACCGGGTCCAGGACTTGAACCATGATCGAGTACATGAGAGTCCAGCGATGTAGCTATTACCCCATCTGCTGGTCCCAAAGACTTAGCTTTTAGAACATCTTTTGTCCTTTTTATTATTTTACCTTGCCATCCTGATGCTTTGGCTGGAGTTCCTGCAGCTATCTTGAACCATGAGGCAAACATGGAGGAGGCTATATGTGATGGACGGTAGAAGAGCAAAGACAGAAGTCTTGGCCCACGAGGAGACCATGAAGTCATTATACCACACTTGGGCAGTCTCCCTCCAGATTTCATATGACAGAAAAATAAACCCGTATCTTGTGTCAGTCTCTGTTACTTGGGTTTTCCTTTTAAATAAGCTGAGCTTAATTTTAACTGGCATAGTTCAGACTCACACGTATTTCATATCCCAGATTTGTCATAATTAGGATGAAAAAGGAAAGACACAAATAGAATTATTTCTCATAATACTGGAACAAAACATCCTAATTTTCATTCTCAAACCTGCTCTGGTAACTTTGGGAAAGAAAAGGGAAGGGGAAAATAGAATTTTTTTTTTCTAGAGGGCACATGTGCTTGCTAGAGAGAAACAGAGACAGAGAGAAGGAGAGAAAGTACCCCCAATGAGGTGTGGTCATGCCACAATCCCTTCTCCTCCATTTCTCCATCCACTTGGGATTTGCATGCGCACACATGTACCCAAGTGTATTTTCTAAGCTACCATGGCCAGGGTTTGAACTGTGGTCAACCATATGGGATCTGGCTCCCTTAACCACTAGGCTATGGGGCCAGTCCAGAAAACAGCACTTCTGCCCCTGCTGTTGCTCCTGCCATTTCCTCTTCTTTCTTCTCTCCTGAGGGAAGGAAGTCCTATCCACACCTGAAGGCCTGGCGTGGAGAAATTGCTTCAGTTAGACCATTAAATTCAGAGTGCATACTGCCTATGCTGGCTACAGGACTCACACATCTGCAGTCGCAGCTTCTTCTCCCTTTGTGAATGTTTACACCATATTGCTTTTCCTATGTGGCATCTCCACAACCTACTGGGACCCATCTTGTATTTCCTTGCACCCTCCACAGGACCTGGTAAACCACCTCTGTGTGGCAGGAGATCAATAAATACTTTTGATTGGTTAGCTGAACTGAAGTGAAGAAAGGGAAATAAAGCAGAAGAGGGGGAATGTGGAGTGAGAATACAAATCCTTTAGAAGCAGATGCACAATGAATAAACATCCTAAGTAAACCCTACACCAAGTTTTACTTCTCTAGACCATAGCTAACGATTAGGTCTGGTAGAACGAATTGTGGTAAGTTCATACAGTTAGTGCAAAGCTCAGGCTGGACTTTGGAAGATTGTTCTCCTGTGAAGAAACAGTGCATTTTGCTTTAGTTACTCAGAAAATTGACTTAGCTTTATTCTCTCAAGTAGCCAAGACATTTTAAAGAGAGACAGAGCCAACCTAGATAGAAGCCATGTTTGGATAGCAGTTGTGTATGATTACAGAAAATGACCTCCAGTGAGACCACATCTTACACAACTGTAACAACATACAGAATTATAATTGGACATGTGAGATAATGACGGAATAGTGCTGAATCAAAACTAAAGAGATGACTTTTGTTAAGTAGACTTCTTTAATTTTTTGCCAAAACCCAGTAATCAAACAACATTATGAAAAATACCACCACATTTATAAAACTAGGATATACTCCGAGCATCAATTTTGCTGGAGCTACCTCTTTAAAAGCTCTCTAAGGCTAGGGGACATTTAACAGTTGCGTATCACTATGTACTTAATAGAATACTCACTCTATGGCAATATGGTTAAAAACTTTAACTACCCTTAAATACAAAAGATAATAAATGATATAAAGAGCATTTGAAACAGAAGTAATTGATATTTTACCAAAATGCACAAACCAGGCTCATACCCTACTGATTCAATTCTCCACTTATAAATCATTGTAGTATGCATCTGCTCAGTACGTGGTACCCAGAAATACAACCTACAAATTGATTTCATAAACTTAACAACGTTTTAGCATATAAATAAAATATCACATTAATAGAAAACTTTGTTTAGCCCGCTTTCACAACACCAATCCAAGTCTTTCTTACATTATTCAAAAATAACAATTAGAAATGCTCCAGGGATGTGCTAAAACATTGGTTTTACTTATGAGAGTTAAATGACTTTTGACTCTCTTTACATACCATTTACAGTTCAAACTGCTAAGAAATATTACATTGTCTTGCAAATTACTCATGATAGCCTTAGTTCACACTGTTTTCGCAAAGATGTCTCAGCAGTATCCGAGACAGTCGCTTCTTTGACAGAATAAATGGCATGTCAACAAGAAAATGAGCATTCCTTTTCTGACCAGCTGGGTCATGTCTCCTTTCCAAAATCCTCAGTCCCATGACACAAAATAATAATAATCTAAAAGACCTCATTAAATGATCAATATATTGACATAATCTCTATAAGGAGACACATAGGGTTTTAATTGATTCTTTGAATCCAAGCTTCCAAAATATACTGTGAGACAATATATTGAATATATTGCTTTATTCATTAACCAATTTTCTTAAGTGTACGGATAATAGCACACAAGAAGACTTGAGAATGTAGATATGCAATTAAAAATTAAAAGAAGCCTGGCCTTCACTAAATCTTTCGTATGAACAACAGCACAGTAAAAAGTTAGAAGGGACAAGTGAAGCCATGTGTACTTACCAAAAAACTTCCAAAGGCTGAATTAAATATCGCAGCTGCCTACAGAGGAAATAAATGAGGGATAAGCTCTCACTGAAAGAAAATAGGAATCGGAATAGCAAGATTATCATTCCCCCCTTCCCCTACTAGCCCAACCCTTACAATATTGACTCTATAAAGCAAAGTTAGTCACTGCTTACAAAAATTGCCAGTGGCCTGTACTATAAAGCAAAGTTAGTCACTGCTTACAAAATTTGACAGTGGCCTGTGGTTTACTAAGACAGATGAGCCGCAGCTTAAGCATTCATAAATAACAGGTCTCCAAAGCAGGCAGGAAAGACTTGTCGTGAGATGCCTTGAACCTACATGACACGACCAGAAGAAGCATCACCCAGAGTACCTCAAAATCTGGTTGTTATTGATTTTGTTACTAGACTTAAAACAATCAGAGGTCGATTTATTTATCAAAAAAGAATTCATATTACTGGGAGGAGGAAAAACAGAATAGTAAAGAAAATATTAATTATTGCCCATCAGTGTGCATCGGTCCTACAACCACCAGGTGAGGTGGTTTCACCATTGGAAAACTGAACACTGTTGTAAAGACCAGGAAAGTTACTGTCATCCCGTGAACTCTAAGGTAGAAACAAGCAAGAAGAACTCCAATTTGGTGTTCAAAATTCAAAGACATATTTGCTTCGTGCTTACCTAAATATCCATGGAATACGTAGGAGATGTCATACAGCTCTTAACATTAAAAGTCATTAAATTCCATGAAGCCACACCAGATCGAAAGCATCTCACAGGACCCCAAAAGGAAGAAAAACTTGTATACCATCCAATGTGATGGGGAAAAAAAAAATAATAAGAGAGAGAAAGGAAAAAAAAAAAATCCTAACAGGCGAAAGGAGGGGCAGAGAAAACCCATTTACATCTTCTGCAGATCCAGAGCAGAATTAAATTAATCACCCTGGACAGTAGAGTCACACTGTAGTAATAAAAGGATGTCAGTTTAGTAAGTTTGAAGGAAGTCCAAAGCCAGGCGAAGAGCGGGAGCTGCAAATGCCTCTGCTCCAGAAGAGGATGCAATGAGAGTGAATGGGTAATGAGATCCTTGGCTCCAGAGAGCTTAGCGCTCCTATTCCAGTTCATAATTAATTCAAAGCTTGGATAATTTCATTAGATTTCTCCTTTGCTGGCCCTATCAATAAAAGATGGCACTGGACCACAGCTCCACCGTGGTGCTGACTACGGGCACAGGCGCAGACCAGGGGAACCTTTGCTTCCTGACAGCGACAACGGCATATGGTATTCCGTGTTGTATGGGGAGCAGTGGAAAAAAGAAAAAAAAGAAAAAGAAAAAGAAAAAGCAAACAGGGACGGCTAAATAAAACATTACAGATGACAACACATTGAACACCTCTTCCTGGAATTTTATGATGTGATTCCAGAACAAAAGTTCTATCTATGGAGAAAGATAGGTAAAAGGGTGAAAATAAACGAATTGTCAACAGGGAACACTGCCTTCCTCCTAAAGAAATAAACTTCCCCACGGATGAATTTCAGACCAAGGCCTGTGCGGTGCTTAAAACCCTCTTTTAAGTAAAGGCACAAGATCCCCTTTGAGCTCCTCTCTCTCCAACTCATCTCTTCCCGTGCCTTCTGCTAACCTTAGACTAGGGACCTGCACTTTTGCCTAAGATTTAAAGAAATAGGAAATCATTAGAAGTGACTCAACAAAGTACCGCCTCGACTCATGAGATCAAGTCACCATACTCCCACCCCCTTCCAGTTCGCTTTTTTAACCCAAATGCAAGCAATGTTATTTTACACGAATTGGCTGTTTCTGAGTCTTACAAGACGATGGGGAGGCTGGTGATGAAGCAGCTTGGGTACCCACTCACTCTTAGGTGTTTTCTGCCAGTGGTGATAGATTTCAACTCACTCAGCCTCCCCCACCTGCGCGGGGATCTCTGGTGATCTTTTGTGAAATGGCTGGTTAAGGATCCGGGAACACTGAAAAGTCCATGGGAAATCAGGCATACACCGAGGCTCTCCAGCTCGATAGCACTGGATGACTAAGCCAAGAGCTGGTCCATGCTGTCCTTGCAGCTTATGAGAGAAGATCATTTCCAGGGTTGCGAAGACTAATGATAACTATTTAGAGAGCATTTTATTCCTACACAGAAGGCATGCATGTCTTCCAACATAAACAGAGGAATTCCCATTTGTGATGAATTCACATCATGCGAAGGTCCTCTGTGAAGGGCTCTATCTATCTATTTATTTAGGAGAGATTTTTGCTATAGGGCGTGTGTGCTCACTAGAGAAACAGGGAGGAGATAGAAAGCAAGAAATCACCCCTCAGAGGGATGGCCACGCCACAAGCCCTTCTCCCCATTTTCCTCCTGGGATCTTGGGCCCACAGGCACATGCACCCAGCATGAGTTTGAAGCCCCCAGGTCCAGGACTCAAACTGCGATTGGCAATGTCCGTTGGGAGTCCAGCGACATAACCAGTGCACCATCTACTGGCCCCAATCCACGAAGAGCTCTACGTCTATCTCCTTCCCTGCTTCAAATGTTGTACTATGACAGCAATAAACTACTCAATATTTGCAATTCATCATGCACTTTCTCACCTCTGCTTCCTAGCCTGAAGTGTCCCTCTCCCCTCCTCTACCTTGGGAACTCTCATACACCTTAGTGACTTGTCCTGGGCATCATCCTTCTGGGAAGTTCTCAATTGCCTCCCACCCCTCTCCCGCTCGACCCACCTACTTTAGCGTGCACACACACACACACATCAGCACTTATGGGGGACTGAATGTCTCCATGCCAGCCACGAGAACACCCTGAGCCTACTTCTGCCGTGGCATACAGAGATGGCCTCTTCACCCCTGCTACCTGTGTATCCCTACTCTACTAGAAAGGGAGGGAGGGAGGGAGGGAGGAAAGAAGAAAGGGGGGAAGCTAGCTCAAAAAGCTCACCCTCAGCATGATGGTTAAGGTAGTTGGATCCCATATGATCAACTGAGGTTCAAGTCCCCAGACCCAGCAGCTTGAAAAACAGGGGGTGCATGTGCGTGCGTGCATTCCCAAAATCCCAAGAGGAGAATGAAGGAGAAGGGATTTTGATGTGGCTACCCCGCTGCAGTGTGATTTCCCACTTTCTTTTCTCTCTCTTTTACCCCCTCCATCCCCAAGGAACACAGAAGAAAGAAAGAAGGAAGGAAGGAAAGAAAGAAGGAAATGAATGAACAAATGATCCTAAGCCTCTACTGGTTTGTTAACTGAATAGCTAAAATAGCAGGATTCCCTGAAAGGTCCAAAATCACCTCTCCTACTAAATTACTTCACATGCTTAGCACAACCAAAGACTAACAGACACAGCAGACAGGAGCTGACACCTGGTACCGCAGCCAAGCAAGAATAATGCCAGGAGAGCTGGACTTCGGTCTTCCATCCAATATCAGCATCTCTCTTACAGCATTCTATTTTGCTTCTCTTGAAATGCCTGAACCTTCCTTTTATAATATAGTTGCATAAATACGTCTAATGTAAGGAATGTTTTTAAGCTGAATACTGCTATACAACAATAAAGTTAGTTAAGTAAAATCTAAAAGTACCAAGGAATACTTTGCAATCATTAAAAGAGGATGATCTGCAAACACTGATATGAGTGAAAGTAGGCCAATGCAGTTTAAAGGAAGGAGCAAAATAGCGTGTTGATTTCTGTTGTATAAATACACACATGCATACACATACACATGCAGAGAAAATGTATAAAAATAGACCACTTCTTCTGAAAGGAATCATAAAAACAATCTCTATCTATAGGTAAATGTGTTGAAAGTTATCAGATAGGGGTTATTTTTAACTTTTCATTTTCTTTGTCCTGTTTTTTTTTTTTTTTTTAATAATGGGTTCCCTTCCTATATTTCAACAAGGATTATCAGAACAGGGAGATAATGAATCATTTATTGTCTGCTTCATGAACCCCTTTGTGTTTAAAAATACAATAAATAGGGCCAGCAGGTGACATAGTGATTAAGGTGCTAGACTCCCACACGGCCAAATGCAGTTCAAATCCTGGACCTGGTGACTTGCTTTCTCACTTTCTCCCTCATTCTCTCTCTCTCTTTCTCTCTGTGTCTCTACAGCATGTAAATATTTTGTTTCAAAAACAAACCCCCCCTAAAAGACTATTTTGTTATATTAAAACTAACACAGTAACAGAGAATACAAACATTATGAACTAAAATCAAATGCAAGCTGCCAAAGAGAATGTGTTCTGAAAGTAGGACCCTTTAAATTAAACCACCAGAATATCTTGGATAGCTATGCATTTTCTTCATACTTGGGACAGTCCGCGGAGGTCCCAAGACAGCACTTGACTTGCTAATCCTCCTTTAATAGAAACAATTTCAAAACTCATCCCCCTCTGGAAAGCTTCATTACAACAAGAACTTTGTCTCTTTTGTTCAAAGTTGTATCCTTAGTGTCTACAACAGCACCTGGCTTATAGGCACCCTTAACAAATACTACTGAATCAAAAAATGAGTGAATGAAAAAATACTCATTGTGCTAACAGAATTTCCAGCATAGTAATGCATTAATTATTAACATATGAAAATAGTCTGCAAAATGTATACCTTAAGGTAACAAGTCTGATGGATAATTAAATCAATGAAAGCTGAAAAAAGTTCATATTGAGGTGTAGTTTTTAAAGACGGAATAGACCAGTTTCTTTTTTTTTTTTTTTATCTTTTTTTTTTGAGAGGTTTTTGCTATAGGGCACGTGCGCTCGCCAGACAGAGAGAGACATAGAGACAGAAAGCGAGAAATCACCCCCCGGGGGGATGGTCACGCCGCAATCCCTTCTCCTCCATTCTCCTCTTGGGATCTTGGGCATGCACGCACACACACCCGGCATGAGTTCTAAGCCACTGGGTTCAGGACGCAAACCGCGGTCAACTACATGGGAATCCAGCAACATAGCCATTACACTAACTGGTTCCCTAGACCAGTTTCTTTTATAGTATACATACTGAACTAATT